TCCTGAAGCTCCACTCCTGAAAGAGAGCTCTCACCCACATAGCATATGGAATCCCTTTTTTTTTTTTCCTCTCTCTCAAAGCCTCACCTCGATGCCTTCCTTATCCCCTGTCCAACAATGCGAAGGCCGGACAGCCTCGTGAGTGCGAAAATAAAAACTCTGCTCTCCGGTTTTGTATCGCCGGACGGGGGTTTGTATCGCCGGACGGGGACACAAATTTTGAAAAAGAAAAAATGAAAAACTTTACCGCAGTTGGGGGGTGATCATCGTAACTTCGAGCAAATGAAGGCCCATTAAGACCCAATACATAATTTGTATTAAAATTTTAGAAAGTTAAAAAAGAAAAACTATATCAAATTTTAAATATTAGAGAGGAAAAGCAACTTCAAATTTTAAAAATAGTAACTATATCAAATTTTAGAGAGAAAAATTACTAAAAAATTTTTAGAAAGAAACCATCTCAAAAGTATTACAAAAAAAACTATCTCAAATTTAAGGCTTTAAAGTGAGAAAGTATCTTAAAACTTTAGAGGCGGAAACTATATCAAGTTTTAGATAGAGAAAGTATCTAAAAATTTTAAAAAGAAAAACTATCTCAAAATTTTAGGAGAGAGAAATTATCTTAAAATTTTAAAAGGAAATATCTTAAACTTAGAGAGAAACTATCTAAAAAAATTTAGAAAGAGAAACTACTTCAAATTTTAAGTTTTAAACATAGAAAAAGTATAATAAAATTTTAGAGAGAGAAACTATCACAAAATTTTTAAAGAGAGAATATCCCAAATTTGGGTTTTAGTCAGAGAGTACATTACAATTTAAGGGAAAGATACTCTATTAAATTTTGTTACCACAAAATGGATATGAAAAAGATCGTAAGGAATCAATGAATTTTGTATTCTAAATCCAAACAAGAGATTTGAAGAATCCATAACAAAAAACTTATATATATTAAAAATACATAGATTTTTTTATTTATTTCAATATCCAAAATTCTTAATTTCCTCCTATCCAAATGGGCCCTAAGATTTATTGCCCATCAACTAAATATTCTAGACTCAATCTTTGAGGAGTAATTGATTTGAAAGTTTTTTTGGGAGCTCCCAAAAAAAAGCTTTCCTTTTAAGTATTGATCTAGAGACTAAGGAGTATGATCGAGTGTTTTCAGTTTGTAAAAAAGCCCCT